AATGATCCGTGGTGGTCTAGCAGCGTGGTTGGGGTTTCCATTACCCCTTCCTATAGCACCGTGAACTGGTGGAGGTCCCTCAGGATGTTCCTGCTCAGCCATACTTTCAAAGTCAACAGTACCAGCTTGCACAATCTCTTCAAAGGCATGAGCTTGCTCTCTTGCTCTTCTCGATCATGCGTGTCCGAGTTGGTGAATATTGTCCAGGGGTTTAAGTAGATTTTTGTCACCCCTGGAGAATAATTTCATGTACCTGAGATCACAAACAAGAAGGTAGAGCAATAAGTAATTAAAATAAAAGTAAAAGGCTTAGTCTTTGCCAAGCACAAAATCCTAATGCTTTCTAACAAACCCAAGTTGGCAACGGCGCCATTTGATAACAAGAGTTTTGTGAGTCTAAATATCAAAGCTCAAGCAACCTATAGTTTTAGTATAGTATGCAAGAGAGTATCAATCCAGCCTGGGTGAAGAAAGAACACTAGGAATGCAAGTACTAAGCCAATCTAAGCAGAAACGGATAAATGGGTGGTAAAATCACTAAAAAGTAAATGCAACGACCAAATGGTTATGGAAACTATTTTAAAATCCCTGAAAGAGGATTAACTACTACTAGGAGAAAACAGAAGATTAAAAACGCGAATCTACTAATAACCAAAAATCGAGAGCTAAATCGGGTCAAATAGGTCGATTCTGACAACTTAAGACAAATGACTTCTAATGATCAAGATGCAAGCTTTGTAACTAAAAGAAGATTACTTGAGGTTTAAAAATGCTAAAAGAGGGTTCAGGATCGAGGGTCATATTCAAGAGTGTTCAAGGGTCAAGCTTTGGTTTGAAAACACATAGATCTACTCATTGATGAGCTTTCCCTAAGCCTTGAGAATCATAAATAGACTCATCCATGGCGTATAGTATGATTCCCTTCTTCAATCTCCTCTCCAAACCCATGGCTTTTGGTGGAAAAAGAGATCGAAGAGCATGGACTACAGATCTCAACTAATGGCTTAACTAACCTCCTCTACATCCATGGCGTTTGGGAGATGATAGATTAGTTTCTAGGATTTGGTTTTCAAGGATCTCTGAATCCAGTCAAGGTAAGAGAAGCCCGGGAATCATAGAGATCTTTTCCAAGACTCCCTAAGCCTTAAGACCCCAAAATCCTAGAAAGGAATAAATGAAGAACAAGAAAAACACAAAAGCTTAAACCCCTGAAACCATTGAATCGCCCCAACCCCTTACCCAAAGAAAAACTACTCGCTACTTATGTTTAAAACCAATTGAAATGCAGAGAAAGATAAACTGAGCATGATTAAAGAGAGCGATTAAAGGAAAACTGTTTAATATTCAAAAGATTTGAAGTTCAAAAACAAGAAAAAGCTTAAGGTTCGACAATGGCGGATAATCGCCTACAGAAAAGCTTAAAAAAGATAAGAATGAAAAGTTGTGTAGAAAGGGATAACCGCTTTTGCCCAAAATAGCCAAACAGCCCTAATGGTCCCCTCACTACGCTCCAAAAATGGTTAAGGCCCCAGAAATCGACCTTGAGATCGATCAGCTCACTCGATCTTCTTCAAGGATCGCCTTCTTCTGCTCGATCTTCAAGTCGATCTGGTTGGATGGATCGAGCTCTTCATTCGATCTTCTGGTCGATCCTTGGGTGATCGGGTCATGGTCTCGATCTAGCTCTCGTTCTGCATGGCGTCATCCACATCCGTACTCCAGATCGATCTCCTCTCTCGATCTTGGTCTCGATCCTTCCCTTTGAATCGACTTGGGTCACTCGATCTTCTGGTCGATCTCGTCTAGATCTCGTCTAGATCGACCTGCCTTGCTCGATCCGCTACTCGATCTCGGGTCCTTTGCATGCATGGCTGGGTTCTCCAAGTGTCCACAAGCTTTGTTTTGATCCTCCTCACGTCCACACAACCTCCACAACTCCAGAGTGCTCCAAACAACCTGATAATGATGCAAAAGTGCAAGAAATATGCAAAATACGAATGCAAAGAGACCTAGGACCTAAAATGCAACAAATGGTAGAAACTAGTCTATAATGCAAGATGAATGCATGAAAACTACTCTAAATGCAAGCGAAATATGCAAAATATATAGGTATATCATTGAACAACATTTCTCCTTTTTTGCTTGACTTAGTCTTTCTATTGCATTCCTAATGCATTCATCTTAGACCTGTGGATTGATAAGAACCCTTGCTACAATGATTATGGGGATAAAAAGCTTGTATCAGTCACCCATGATTCTAAGAGTAATTTGATTGGCTTATCTATGGGGCTTTTTCTTGGGATGTGGATGCATAAAGGGCCATTGTGACTCAAGTTGGATGAGAAGCGCATCTTCTGTGTCCCTTGGAAGGCTTAGATTCATCGCGTGGTTGTGGACTTTATATGCTATTTGATGGTGTAGCGTTCCCAACTTGTTGAGTGCATGTTATTTGCAGTTGGATCTGCATATTTTCGTTTATTTACGAGTGATCAAGTGCAACAATAAAATTTGGGAATAGTGTGGCCTGCATTTAATGTTTTTTGGAGGGTTGATATGCAAGCATGTTGATACTCTCTGAATCCTGTGTCGATTGTTCTAGTTGCGAGGCTATGATGAGTTCTTTTGCCACATATGACCAAACACGTATTTTATAAGTTTGGAGAGAGTAGAGTTTGGTTTGGTGAGGACTTTATATGGGTTTAGTAAAAGTAACTGGGGATAGGGACCTTACTATCATCACTACGGAACTCTACTTCATAAAAAAAATCTATTTTACTGGAGCTTGATTTTCTGAAAAATAGTTGGTTTGGAAGAATGGATGTACCTTCCATAATGTGTATGAAAAGGTCAGAAACCATGATAAAATGCTTAAGTTCTGATCTTTCCATTGGAAATAAACTATGAGTTTTTTTATCAGTGTAGTGCTAAAAATATACAGAAAACTTTCATAAGGTACTTCGTTTGTTCTACAACCGAGGCAATAATTTCAATCTGTGAAGCCTCGAGGTACTTTAAGCATTATAGTCTTACGAAGTTTATTTGCTATATCCTTCTTTATCTAACTTAGTAGGATTTCTGGTGTGGAGGATCCACTATATGGCAACCACAGAGCATATTTTTCGTACTAGCTCATAACAACTCTTATTTAAAAGAAAATGGGGAAATGATATTTATAAACAAGTGGGAAGCTTTGTTATAAGCATGCTTAAGAGACTGTAAGAATACTCGAGAGATTACTTCTTATTTGTTTTTCTTAAACTTGGTTTGGATTCTAGCTCCCACCAAGCCTTGGTATTTATAGTACAAACTCTAAAAAAAATTATATAGCATATTCCTTCAACTTATTCAAGACGTATCATAATGTGTACATTGACCTTAATCACTCCACACATTTATTCAACTCTACATGCTCCAAACTTAATTGATATATTATACATACTTAATAATTAGATTTACTTTATTAGAGTTTTCTTAGGACCGATGACCAAAAATATAAGCGCACTATGTTGGCATATATAGTTAAATCAATTCTCTTAAGCCTCTCCATATATATATATATATTCTTGAAATTCGGATGTTACAATACATCTCCACTCACTGAGCGCAATGTCTTCGTTGCACACCAGGGCCGTTACCACTGACGGTGTGAGCCCTTGCGACTCCACACTCTCGTCTGGGCTCAGCTTTGATACCGCTTGTAACGCTCTGACCTCTCCTACCAGTGAGGCCCCATGTTCACTCTCAGGTCTGTAGGCCTTATTCCTGTCCGGCAGATGGTGCGTTAGCCAAGAGACTTGAAAGTCATGAAATACTGATTCTGCAATCACCATACGATCTTTCTCTATGTTTTTCCTCACTCACAAGATACCGCAAATCACTTTGCGAGAGGTCACCCATTATATGCAACTCCAGCTCAAACACGTTTAATTTTAGAGTTCTTAACTGAAAAAATAAGTGTACTTTAGTGACATAAATAGCCAAATCAATTTGCTTAAATCTCTTCACTTATATATTCATATTCTTAAAATTGGCGCTAACCACTCTTCTCCAATCTCGTTAGCTCCAAATGATTGACGCTAAACAAAAGAAAAGAAAAAAAAATACTAACCACAGTTTTCCGACAGTGTTGCCACACTGCCGATTGAGTTTAGAGTCAGATGGCCTCCATGCTGGGTATTTTGAACCGATATAATCTAAGGCCCGTTGCTAAACTCTAAACTTGGGTTGCTTAGACTATATGCCCAAAACTCTGTTAAACCCTAAAAATTTATGACATATTGTTATGATTCGTTGGCTCAAAGGCGAAACCTTTACTCCCGATAATCAACAACAAACCAAGAGCTCTTTGTGGTTAAGCTCGAACACTCACGTTTGAGGAAATAGAGAGAAAAACAGAGTTAGCGATAAAGGAGGAAAACAGAGCAAGCACACACGATTTAACGAGCTCACACCCATAAACTCGGATCACTACATCTCGCCGGGATTCGTTCCCAGAATCCACTAGATCACAAGGTTATATAAAGATCCAAAACCCCAAAACCTTCTTACAAGATATTTCTCTCAGTTTATCGCATACCCTTGTATCCCAAGAACAAAACAATAAAGTTTATGCCTTTTGTATTGTTCGCACTTCTTGCTCTGACACTCTTTTATCCTCTACTGAGCTTATATATAGAAACTCCATTTACCCTAGCACCATAAGGCAACAGCCTCGGGAAACAGCCTCCTGGAGTTTGTACAATCACTAAACAAGGCTCTTGTCTAAAGACGACAAACAACTCATGCTCCGTTAATAAATGACAGGAAGCAAAACGGCTATAACTAAGTGGTCCCAAAAGTGCTGAGTTGAGTCTAAAACTTCGGCTCCACGCATATCCACAGTTGGTTTTTACTTGAACTTCATTACTAACATCAACACATATAATTCATCCGCTTAAGAATAGAAAGATCCATAATCATTATTGTTATTTATTTTTTGAGTTCATACTTCATAATACGCTTTACGGTCAAGCGTGTCTTGTTAAAATATTCCAGAAAAATCGAGAGGATACGCTTTTGGGCTTCTTGAAAATGTTCTGAAATCATTAAGAAAACGTTACCGTAAAATCTTGTATAAGAGTTCATATCTCAAATAGAAGACGAAGCGGATAAAACATAACATTAACCAATATCTCAAATATTAAGAAACTAAAACGTCACACACAAATAGTAAGAATCCTCAGTTAAAAAAAAAAAGGTAAAGAGCAACGAAGCCTGTATAACAGCTGAAACTGATCAACTCTTTGGGGATGCCTTCTGCGGTCCAGTTGGAGGAGCACTCTGCGAAGCCGGGGTACCACCAGCGGCGGCTCCAGCAGACCCATCAGAAGAGTAACCGCCACCAGCAGGAGGTTGTGTGTATCCTCCATATGACCCATATCCTTGTGGCGCTTGACCATACCCATAGCTTGGAGGCGGTCCGTACCCTGACGCAGTTGGTTGCGCATAACCAGACTGACCACCATAGCTCCCGGGAGCACCCGGAGACTGCTGGTTCTGAGCATAAGCCGGTGGCTTTCCAGACGTTGGTGGTGCTCCATATCCGGAACTGTAAGCTGTAGGTGGCTGGCTGCTGTAACCAGCTTGAGAAGTCGGAGCAGCTCCATACCCTGCCTGACCAGTACTACCTTGAGGAGAAGGCTGTTGACCAGTTGTACCATACCCAGCTTGTCCAGACTGGGTCGATGATAGTGGAGCGGCTTGAGATGTATCTTCCTCTTGACTTGGATTGGCGGTGCTGCCGTAACCACCCTGTTGCTGATCGTACCCAGCTTGACCATATCCTGATTGCTGTGAGGCGTTATAAGCCCCATACCCGTCTTGCTGGTATCCCTGACCAGCTTGGCCATAACCAGAAGCATGCTGGTAGTAATTGTAGCCTGTGGTGTCTGTCGGTGGGGCTGAGCTACCACCACTGTTTGGTAGCTGTGACTGTTGCTGACCGTAATAATCATACTCACCTTGGGCACTCTGCTGGGATGGTGGAACAGAGGATTGATCCCAGGTGGCGGCGTAGCCAGCCGAAGTTTGTTGAGGGTAACTTCCGTATGGTGATTGACCGTACTGAGGGGGGCCTGGATATGCTCCAGGTTGCATGTAACCATAACCAGGCTGTTGTGCTGGAGGAGCACCAGGTTGTGCCCAGCTTGATGGCGGCCGGACTTGGTAACCTTGTTGTGGATAGCCTCCACCCATTGATGAGTTTCTCATACGGTTCTGCATAAAAAAAACCAATAATGTAAGCAGCATAGGAAACTTTTTTCATGGGGAATAAAAAGACGACAAAGCATAAGAACACATAACACAGAGGCAGAGACATATAAGGCAGATTTAAACAACAAAAAATCTAGATTGAGAAGAGGCATACAAGGTTACTGTCATTTACCAATATCTGTCTATAGGATCAACCAAGATCATTATCATATTCTATAAGGGTAATGGTGATGCCTACATACCGTACTGATTGGTGAAATTATTGGGTTACTCCTGCAGAAGCCCATCCCTTTCCCTATCCGAGGTAAAATAGGTGCAAGAAAAACCACGAATACTATAGAAGCTTTTGCAGATGAAAGCAACATATGACATGGAACCTATTTCCACAGAGGCAAAGCTTGCGCAGCATAATACAGTTATACCAACTAAAGAGTGCCGGTTTCAACAATATCAGTACTCATGGAAACATATTAGCAGATTTAACCTAGGATATGATCATTCTGAAGTAAGTTATGGCTGAAGGGTTCGACTAGGAAACGAATCCAGGAAAAATCAAGGGAACTAAAAGAGCAGTATAAAAACAGTTACTATGTTAGCAAAATCTTGACACGGAAAAATGGCTAATACGTCTTCATATGTTAAAGTCGCCCACCTTTGGTGATACCCTGATGACTGATATTAGAAGTAACAGCTGAACGAAAGCGATTTTAAGAAAAAGAGTAAAGGGAATAATGTAACACAAAGATTATCACGCGGATCGTATAAAACCAAAACCCGGAAATCATCAGATGTATAGCAGTTTTAAAACAGTCACAGCAACTTGGAAAAAACTATTCAGCTACCTCACAAAGGCTATCCAAACCAGTGTAAGATCAGCCATTGCTGCGACCAGAAGCGATGTAACAAATATGTCTGCATAAACTCCATAAACGTACACAACAGAAATCTCTACCACGAAAATAACATTTGAAAAATGAATATTTGTTGGTAACAGTATATGAGTCATAAAGAACCATGCACACTGTAAAATTGAACTGTCGAATAAGATGAAAAGCAAATGCATGGGAAGGTCAGTTGAAAAACGCCATAAAATAGAATAACAAATCCATGAAACTCGGTGTAGAAGGTACTGATACGCAATGAACATTTAATAACAAGATGGAGGTAAGGAATATCAAGATAATTATCTTTTGGTAAGAGGTCAAGAAAACAACAAAATAATGAACCTTCCCCCTGCAGATAAGCGGAAAAGAAGAACTATGCACTCCGTGGTAGATGCAGTTATCGTAAAGCTAATACCGTCGGAAATGAAGGCACAAGAAGAGGATAGCTCATCATGAGAACAACGAGTACTTAGCAGTTAATATAGTTACTAGTATAACATGTATCACACATCACCTAGATGTCTCTTCCCATGCTACAACCAAATAAAGATTCTGAATATCCTAACATCTATAGATTAAGGGATAGGCTAGATAAACCTCAAGCTGATGACAACTAAATGATATAAACACAACACAATATAAACTTCAGGTAGAAAAAAGAAACTGCAGAAGCTTGCCACAACCCATAACAAACACAACAATCATACATACCTCGCCACTGATGATTTCATTAACTAAATGTTTAGCATGTTCAATCTGATCGGTGGCCCCATCAATCTGCAAAGTTCTTTCTGGAGTTGGATCTCCAGGGGGCAAGTGCAAAGGAATAACCTGCACACAATTACCACAGGTTAGATCGCATTTCACCAGACAGAGAGACAACAGAAGCCTTCAATATGTTGGATTTATACAACAAAGCTACACAAACAAAAGAGAAAAAACACAAACCTGAATTCGAGCTCCAGTCTTAGCTTGCATAGATTTGATTGTTTCACCGCCTTTACCAATCACAAGACCAACCTAGAGCAGTTTTTGTGTTACATACAAGACACATTTTACATAAACAGCTCAATCTCCAGAGCATTAAGTACCTTATTATTAGGAATTTTCATAACAAATTGATCGGATCCTGGTTGTCCACCCATCCTACGAGAGCCTCCACCTGAACCTGCTGTACCACCCGACTCAGCCTGAAACAAAATCATTGGAAATCACTTTCATACAAAACTTCATGACACAAAAACTATGATCAACAAAGAGTAAGACTACCTCTTGAAGGACTTCATTGATCAACTGTTCTGCCTTAGAGATCTGGTCTGGTGTACCAGTTAGGTCAACAGTTCTCGTAGGAGCATTCGGGTCTGCATCCATATCTCTAGTAACCTGAATCTTGGCTCCAGACTGAAGTTGAAGATACTTGATTGTTTCTCCACCTTTACCAATAATAACTCCAACTCTCATATTCGGAATATCAATCTTCTTGGTAGTTCCTGAAAAGCTACCATACGAAACCGGAATCGAAGATGGGGCTGTGTTTGACATCTGCTTACCCTCTAAATCAAAATCAATCACAAATCAATATAAGTTTCAGTTTTTATTCAACCCTAATCCGATGAAGACGAGATACCAACAGAGAAAGAAAAAAAGGAAGCGTTTACACATACCGGAAGGGTAAGAGCTAAACCCTTTGTCGCCGTAATCATAAGAAGCACCATTCTCGACGCGGGGACGTTTTGCGTCAGCGCTGTTGAGGAGACGAGCTGCGATCTCTTGTGCCTTTTGCTTAGCTATCTGGATTTCATCCATCGGAGGAGGGACGCTGTTGTAGGAAGACGGAGGAGGAATAGCTGTTGCGGCGGTGGGATCAGGCGAAGCAGATGGGATCGGGCCGGAAGAGAAGCCTGTGGGTCTGCGTGTTGAAGGAGGAGGAGCGGTTTGCTCTTCGTATTTCCGTTTGTTGGAGTAGGAATCGGAGGAGTAGTGAGATTCGTCCGCCATGTTTCAACCTTTTCGATAGAAACCCTAAGAGGCGGAGATAAGGAAGAAAAGAGGGTGAGGGGTATAGAGAACAACACACACGCGAAAATATATATTCAGATATCTTTTCCTCCTTTTTACAAAAGAACAAAATAATCGGGAAAAAAATATAAAATATCCTAATTAATTTTTTTCTAAACTTTTTTATACATAAATTAATTTGTACTCAATTTATTACTTCAACTATTTATTTTACTCATTCTAAATTTTTAACTATTTATTTTACTCATTCTAAATTTTCAAATGTGGACTATATATAGAGGTTGACTGATTTTTCAGTTTCCACTAGGTTTTTTTTTATGCTACGCACACACAAATGTATATAAAAAAATATTAAAAATTTATTTTATGATATAAGATTTTATAATTTGATATTATAACAATTAGTTTTAATTGTAGAGTGGTTAAAAACTTGGTTTGATAAAAACTTCTTTTAGTAGATCCCCAAAGTGTTTTAAAGAACTCAAGTCATAGCAGATGCGGTGAGAAGCATATATGTTCTTATACACTCTTGTTAGAGATGAGATTCGAACTATCTCTAAAAACCTGATATAAAATCTGGTAGATCCATTTTAGGAATTCAAATAATATCTAGGTCCGTTGGATAAATGGAAATCTTCCATTTATTGGAGTAAATCCGGAAAAGACGTAAGATTAGTCTTATTGGCAAGGGAAGTTTTCCTATTTCAAAGATACATAGTTATCTGCAGGAGACCGACCTGATCAGCTATAAATAGGGGAAGTCTCCGACTTCTCAATCCATCCAAAAATCATCTCTCAAGACTTATGGCAAACTAGCTTTTCATTTTTCTAAGCTCTCGAATTACTTCCATACTATTTTAGGTCGGCCGTCTTTACTCCGACGACCTAAAATCCTCCGTGTACTTTCAAGCTTCGACTATTTTTAATAAAAAATCTCTCTTTAAACCTACAAACTCTTGTTCAGTCTTTAGATCGGATTTGAGTTATCACAGTTGGTGCCATCTGTGGGGAATAAGAGACTCAATCTTTGAAAGAAAAAACAGAGCTTAAAGATGGTTGAAACACCTATCAACCCCGATGCTACCAACCTTACCGGAGGAGCCACCGATCTCACCGGAGGAGCCACTGATCTAACCGGTAGCAACCCCCAGGCCCCCATCATCGATCCAACTACCAAACTTCCAGTGGTCGACCAGACCAACCTGCAAGAAGACGATGCGACTGCTGCACAGAACACCCGTGAGGCGGAACAGGTCGGCCGAACTGGTGGAGCAAACCAGACTGACCTGCCACAGCCACCTCCCATCGATTTGGCTGGCCTCATCAGATCGATCGCGACTCAGCTACAACAGGGTATGGATGCTCCGTTCGAGTCCCTTTGTGCCGAGCATATCGCCTATCGAGAAGACCTAGATCGGCTTCTCAGCGCTAGGGTTCATACCCAAGAACCGGCTGATCTGACTACGCCTCGACACCAGCCGATCCCCAACCCAGCGACGACGAGGCTGGTGAATAACCTGTTCAGCACCACACCAACAGACGATCTGCGGAGGGCACAGGTGGAAGGCTCCAACGCTCGTTCGTCCCGAAACACCACAGGTGCCGATCCGACGATAGCCTCCGAGCTAGATCTTCTCCATCAACGCCTTGACAACATAAGTACCAAGGTCCATAAGGCGACGACATCAATAGATTCTGATCCATATTCTCCCGATGCACCTTGTCGGACGAACTCTCTCTCAACATCCTGATCAGAAATTTGAGAGACGACCAGTCTTATTGCGAAAAGTTGAAGACTGGCAAAACTAAGACGTTAGAGGATGCTTTGCATAAAGCAAACGGCTACATCAGACTCGAGGAGGATAAGGCGGCCAAAGCTAAGTTGGCCGACAAGAAGACTTCACGCAATAAGAAACTCTAATCGTCGAATCAGGATAGCCATCAGGAGCCTCGACAGCACTACGGTAGAGACGATACAAGCTGCAAGAATATCAACGTTGTGGCTCGACAGACGAGGTGGATCACTTGGGACCGCCAGAGCGTCAAAGATTCCGATAGTAAGAAGCCCTACTGCACTTACCACAAAGCCCATGGACATCATTCGGACGATGGCCATACCCTCACGGCACTCTTAAGAAAGAAGTGGGAAGATGGCGAATGCAGCGTTCCAGAACCTCGTAGTCTGTGGTGACAACCTGACAACAACCAGGTCGACAACCCGACAATGATCAAGACAGACGATCCGACGCTGACCGACCATCCGCCAAGCGCGAGGGGAAAGAGGCAAAGCGCGATCGTGAGGACGACCACACACCTCAGACTTCGCCTCGACGATGAATCAACATGATTATGGGAGGACTCCTCTCATGCACCAATTCCATCAACTCGATCAAATGGCATGAGCGAAAAGCCGCTAACCCACCAAAGGACGCCCCACCACTGTTTAAAGACGACCTCCCGATCATATTCACCGAGCAGGATGCACAGAATATAGATCGGCCACACAACAATCCACTCGTCATCTCGCTTTGGCTCGGAGAAGACAACGTTTCGAAGATCTTGATCGACACAGGAAGCTCGGTCGACCTCATTTTCATGGAAACACTACGCAAGATGAGCATCACCGAACAAGACATCAAAATCGCACCATCACCTCTCATAGGATTTGCTGGAGATTCGATCTTAACGATCGGGACCATAACGATGTGATATGATCCCACTTATGATCTTGACCTTTCAAAGTAAGTGGTGAACGTGCTGATCCTTGGCGATGGGTTGTTTCGATCGTTGTGATGAGAATTGAACCGTTTGGGATGGAAAAGAGGAAAGAATGAAGATGGAATATAGCAAGAGATGCGGATGGCTCTTGATACAAGCTACTAGAACACAAAGGATATGACGCACCTATGTTTCTAAGTAGGGTTTCTCGTGGATATTACACACCAAGAGAGGTTGATCTACTTTCAATGAGATTTTTATTAAAAAGATAGATGAAACCCAAATACAACTAAACACACGGTTTTAAGGAGAGAAGAGAGAGGAAGGAGAACGGACAACAAGAGAGCAATAAGTTAGTCTTGGGACAAACCCCCTTGACTAACCATGCATGACTTGGTTCAAAATCACACAACCTACAAGAATAAGAAAACAACTAAAAACAAGAAAATGAACCTAGACACTTCCGAGCCACAAATGGTAGAAAGAAGTGAGCTTGGACAAATGAAAAGTTAATGGGCAATGATGTTGTAGAAACACTTGCCTCGTTAAAAACCTTAGTGAGAAAACCCAATGGGACAAAACTCACTCAGAGAAAAAGAGCACAAAATGCTTCTACAAACCCATTAATTAGTCATCGGCTATTATGCATACCAAAGCAGTATGTATAGCCTCTTTATTATATGCTTCATGAATGGACCGACTAAGCAACATTTCTAAGGCATTATGAAATGCCTTAGTCTTTGAACGGGTCATGGGACCTTCTTGAACCTCCAGAACGTCTTCAGCTTTCTGCTTGCTTCGATCTTGTTCTTCTATCATCTCCTTGTCAACAAGATGTTCGCCGATCAGCTTGGAAAGACGATGGAAGTATACATAGACGACATGCTCGTCAAATCAGCTAAAGCAGCCGACCACATCGTTCATCTCCGCGAATGCTTTCTGATACTCAACAACTACGGCATGAAGCTCAACCCTGTGAAATGCATCTTCGCGGTCACATTGGGAGAATTCTTGGGATACTTAATCATTCAACGCGGAATCAAAGCTAACCCCAAACAGATCTCCGCGATCTTAGAATTACCTTCACCGCGGAACACTCGCGAAGTTCAACGGTTAACCGGACGGATAGCCGCATTGAACCGATTCATATCGCGCTCAACAGACAAAAGTCTACCCTTCTACCAGCTCCTCTGTGGCAACAAAAGATTCGAATGGGACGAGAAGTGCGAAGACGTGTTCCTGCAACTCAAGACATACATATCAACACCTCCGATACTGGCTAAACCAGAGTACGGTGACACCTTACTACTATACATCGCAGTTTCCAGCACGGTGGTCAGCGGCGTTCTAGCTCGAGAGGATTGTGGAGAGCAGAAGCCAATCTTTTACATCAGCAAAACTTTGGACGGAGCCGAGACTCACTATCCAACCTTAGAGAAGCTTGCTCTTGTAGTTGTCGTCGCCTCAAGGAAGTTACGTCCTTACATCCAGTCACACTCCATAGCCGTCATGACCAGTCAACCCCTTCGGTCGATTTTACATAGCCCGACACAATCCGTGCACATGTCGAAGTGGGCGATCGAGCTATCTGAGTTCAATATCGAATACTGAATATGTACCTCTGCAAAGTCCCAAGTCTTGGCAGAATTCCTGATCGAACTATCACCTGAACTTTTGAATGCCGACCCGACGAACTCGGAAACGTGGACTTTACACGTCGACGGAGCGTTATCTCGCCTAGGAGCCGGAATTGGCATCCTGTTGGAATCCCCCACTGGAGAACTTCTCGAACAATGCTTCTGCTTGGAGTTCAGCGCATCCAACAACGAAGCCAAATACGAGGCACTAATCGGTGGTCTCCGTCTAGCTTGAGTGATGAACGTCTAACATATTCAGGCATTCAGCGACTCACAACTTGTCGCGAAGCAGTTCAGTGGAGAGTACGATGCGAAGGACGATCGAACAGACGCCTACCTGAAGCTAGTGAAGCAGTTGGCCGCGGAGTTTGTAACCTTTGAGCTACATCAAATCGACCGATATGCCAACACTGGCACCGACGCTTTAGCTGCTATGGCGTCGAACAGAGACTCAGCTCTTCGGAGAACTATCCCGGTCCAAGGGATCTCCCAACCCAGCATAACCCCGACCAAAGAAGTTCTCCAGATCACAGCCGATGAAGACGAAACCATTCCTGCAACAACCACTACCGAACAACCAGCAGCAGACTGGTGAATCGAGATCCGACGCTTTCTCGAGACTGGCGAGTTACCATTGGAGAAGTGGGCAGCTCGGCGGATTTGTGCACGCATTCGTGCACGCAATGCTAAGTACGCGATCATCAAAGGAGTCTTGTGCCGATGGACCGATT